TTACTACACGGCAAACAAACGTATTTTGCCAGACCATCCACAAGGTCCGAAATGAAAAGAATGGCAGTCTAATTATCTTGAAGGAGTGGTCTGGACACCCTCTTACTGACGATAAGGACATTCTTCACCGATGGCGAGAGTACTTTGAGAAACTCCTTAACCCCGAGCAATCTCGGGAGGACTCGCCTATAGAGCAGCATGGAATGGATATTACTATTATTTCATGATGAAATCACACAGGCTGAGAATAGTCTCGAAAGTGTAAAGGCTTCTGGAATTGATGAAATTGGCTCTGAAATGCCCAAAATATCAGGGGAACAAGACCTATGCTGGTTTACACATGTCTGCGAAGCAGCAATGATCATGGGGAAGGCAACGGTGGAATGAAGAGTGAGGGCTGCTCTACTCCTGTTAATGAGGGGAGACCATAGGGGTGCTCGAATTTTCGGGCATTACTTTATTGAGCCTCCCGGGAAGAGTCTACACAAAGGTGCTTGAAAGGAGGTGCCTCGCAATTATTGACTCTAAGATGCAGGAAAGAGCAGTGTGGCTTCTGGCCCGATCAAAGCACCTCTGATCATATATTCGTCCTACGCGTGATTGTTAAGAAATCGTGGGAGTTCGCCCATTCATCGGCCCTAAAAATGCCTAAAGCAGGATCCCGCGAAGCTATCTGCTGGCATGCTTTGGGACATATCGGATCGATGGCTATCCAGTCACTATGTCCTGAGAGCAGGTGCTGCGTCAGAGTAAATGGCGCTAAGTCGAAAGTTTTCAACATTGGCACTTGTCCCCACTAAGAATGCATTCTGTCCACCTCCGTGTTTAAGGTGCAAATGGATGGAAGAGTATGGCGCAGCCACGACGATGAGAGCATCAGCATAGGGAATGTCGAGATGAGAAGTTTGCTGTTTGCAGTTTTGTTGGCATATACTGAAGTTTGTCTATGGGTCTCTCTGGAGGGGCTCGGAGCTCGGTGCGGCCCGTGAACGACACGCATGTGGGCGTATCTAAAGCAAGAAACATAATGTTTTCTCGTTCTCCTGCTCTTTGCTCTCTTCGGATAAACGGCGAAGCAGTGGAGTAAGAGAAGAGAGAAGCGCACCTCATGTTTACTGATGATGGAAAATTTGAGGAAAAAACCGACCTGGCCAATAACTTTCTGCTTGAACTATTCTGAACCGTTGTGACTAACGAGTCTGAAGATTAGTCTTCATCTCGTCGCCTACCTAGGTCATTAGTCGCAGATTATGACTCAAAAATTGGTCTCGGGTACAAGCGGCTAAATGTGCTTTCTGGTACGAGTTGCTGGCCTCACTCGTCTTGATACGGTCCGGAGTACAAAAATTTGCCAGATTCTACATGTAGAGTGGCTGCTTTTTGAGATTTAGAAGTTAAGGTTTGTACATGTTTTGCGAATGCATCCAAAAAGGAAGGCAAGTGTCTACCAGGTAGAAATTTTAAGATTTTTCCGTGATCGATTCCCAACAAACCTTGAGAATCACTGGCCTACCACTTGTCCAGCCCAGGTGACGGCCAACATTATCACGATACAAAAGTATGGAAAGAATCTGCCGTAGACTCCGGCTTTTTTCCCGAAGCTCAGAATCGGCGGATAGGTGCGTTGGAAACACTCTCTGATGCATCTGCCTTGATGATTTGAAAGAAAAAGAGATAATGAAAATGAAAGGTTTATGATTAACGTTAAAAATGATATTGACGGATTTCGAAAGAATCAGGAAAAGACTAGTTCCTCGCATCATTGAAATGGTAGTCTGATATTCCGAACCTTCGAAAAATATGTAAAATAAAGATTTCGGCATCGATTAAAAGTCTATTCATCGCATCCGCCAAAGCCGTGTATTTTTCCTTGCATTAGCAGTTTCTTCAGGGTAAGCAGCAATAAATAGTACGTTCCTCTTAGTATCAGCAAGTAAGAAATCTCCCGTTAGTTAAATCTCAACGAAATTTTCTTAGAGTTTAATTTGTGGGGATGAAAGCCGGTACTGATATTATTTTTCTGGACTTGACAAACACCTAATACATAGGTGACAAAATATTTTAATATCATCCGCCCTTTATTTAATTGATCCTCTTTTGTCGTATGCCTCGGGATGTCAAGAAAATTTATAACTCAATGTTAAGATTTCCAAGACAGTGAATGGTTGCCGT